CATCGTTATGAGGAGGGTCCTCATTTCATAAGGAGGGATCCTAAGGTCCTGAAAGGAGCCAAAAGTGCTCGATTCCTATTAGGAAGGGGAATATTAGATTCATTGTCGGTTATTAAGGAGCGCTACTAGGGTTTCACCACATGTCTTATGAGATCTCTCAAGGGCCGACTTTCCTTTCACCTGAGGATTCTCATAATCCACACGTACTACTTCCTTCACATCTTACTTAACCGACGGAGCGCCTTATCACGCACGTAACTTAAAGTTGCACATGGGATCGATATTCAACTCTGGTTCACAGCGAATCGCGGTTCTGTGATGGTCTCGGGTTCAATACAGGACTGCGCACCTTCGAGGTTCATCGCAGGACCGTGTGTATCTAAGGTTCATTGCAAAGCCGCACACATCCAAGGTTCATCGTAGGACCGTGCATGTATAAAATTCATTGCAAATTTACATTAACTAAAATCTTTTTTTTTTGGGTCATGTCGAGTACAAGTTCATCGCGAACGTGCGATGAATCGTATGTTCATCGCAGGCGTCAAATTAGTTATAAGCTCGTCGCAGGCGACCGATGAGTTACGGACTCATCACAAGCGTCCATGTGGTATCAATTTGGTATCTTCTATACTTTGAAGGACTGAGCGAGCACCACTATGTACCTACACATAGCATCACAACCAAGCTCAATAATGGTAAAGCGTCTAACCAGGCAACACACTCGATAAGATAATAACTCCAAAAGCCCTAGGTAACCAATTCCATGCATAACTCCAAAAGCGTTGGGTAACCAGTCCTAGGTATAACTTCAAAAGCCATGGGTAACCAGTCCCAGGAATCACCTCAAAAGCCCTAGGTGTCCCAGGCATAACATCAAAAGCCCTGGGTAGCTAGTCCTAGGCACATCTACAAAATCCCTAGGTAAACAGTCCCAGGCGTTACTTTGGCAATTCCTAGTGTGAGTTATTCGACTAACACTAGTTCAATCCTAGGGCAGATATAAGTAAGAAGAAAAGAAGAAGAAGAAGAAGAAGACAAAGAAGAGAAGAGAAGGAGAAAAGGTTCGGTCTGAGAAGTAGAAAAGTCACTCTTTTAGCTGATCCACTTTGTATTTATACTCTTTGTATTTAGATTACAAAATACAAATTTGTCCCCCCATTAAGTATGGGACACATAACTTAAACCCAGACAAAATAGAAAACTCAGCCTTAATTAAATAGACAAATAACTTAACTACCCTTGTATTGTCGATTCTAACACTCCCCCTCAAATTGGGGAATATATATCATACAGTCCCATGGTTTCAAATGTCGCTAATGTCGCCCGACATATGTTGATGTCGAGGCTCATTGACATGAAAATGGATGGTAATATAAAAATTACATTATGTCGGTTGACATTTCCTATATTTCGGAAATGTCGACCAAATCGGTCCAAATAACCAAAAAAATGCAGTTTTTCCTATTATGTCGACAAGATGTCGACTAATGTACATTAAAAATATAATATATTAGTATATTATATTAATATAATACAGTATATTAAATAGATTATTCCATTAATATTTCTATTTAATATTTCAAATAAAATATTTATAAAAAAATTAACAAAATATAAAAACAAAAGAATAAATTAATTACTTTATGATATAAAACAAAATATTAACTAGTTAGTATTTTTTAAAATATTTATTAAAATCAGAAAATGTTTATTAAATTTTATAATAAACCATATTCTACATTTATTATAAAAAATCAGAATAAATTTAATAAAATTTATACTAAATCATAATTTATTATAAATTTAGTATTAAAAATCATAATAAATTCATTAAGTTTTATTAGAAATCAGAATTTATCATAATCTTAATACTACAAAAAGGATAATCAGTTTATTAAATTTATA